GTTCTGTGCCTGTGTTGTTTTGATCTTTTTTGATGCAAGGGTGATGTATGCCTGGATGTAAGATCTAAAAGTCTCTTAAAAGTCCAAGCCTTGAAACAAAGGGATTTTTTTTTTCTTTCTTGCATGTATGCCTGTATGTGGCTTTGATTTTTCTTAAGTGTCTGTAACGCCTAGAAGAAAAATCTTGAAGGCCTGAAGTCTCTTTTGAAAATATCCTCTTTAGAAAATTATCCTAAAAATTATACCTGAATATTCCTTTATATAATACAAAAATAATCTGCAGAAGACAAAATCAAACACACTTTTAGAATCTAAGTGTAAAAAAAATTCTGAGGTAAACCAAACCATTTCTACTTCTTCCTTTGCATCATTTATCTACATCTGCAATATTCTTGCTTTTGATGTATTCCCTTTCAGCTCCCAAATTGCGTTTTCCTTTTTTTCTGCAATGTCATTTACCTGAAGCTATGGTGATTCAATCAACTTAAATGTTTAGCTCTCGCTGTGGTTCTCATTGCTGTTTATTGGTGAAAATACTTCAATGATGGCTGTGGCCTTTGGCTGGCTGATGTTTGCTGTGCTACATCTTCGGCAGAATGTTGTCTTGTTCTACACCATTCAGGCTTTCTCTCATACTGTCTCTGCCATCTCCAGTCTTTCTCAGAAGGGTAAGGGGCTTAGCAACCTAACTTATTTCTCAGAAGCATGCTTTAAGAGCCTCAGTAAGATGAACGTTATAAAATGAGCAGTGCTAGATCTTCTTCATTTACTTCAGTCCAGGACAGTTATTTACTGTTTGGCACTTAGGGCCAGTCAGAAGGGATTGTCTTGAGTGCCCTTAGCTTTCAAATAAGTATCATGGTTCAATGCTATTGTAAGCTTTTCAATAGCTGATAGCAATATCATGAAAATTTGTGTAGAAGGCTTTTCTGTGTCAAATTGTTACCTTTCCCTACTCTGTTGTTGTGGGAGAGAGGCTTATGCACACACACTAACTCTGCGGTTTTGGTTGCAGCCAGAAGAGCTGAGAGAAATCATAGAGAAGACGAGGGAGATGGAACAGAACAACGGCCACTACTTTGATACTGCAATTGTGAATTCTGATCTTGATAAGGCATATCAAGAGTTACTTCGGTTAATAAACAAACTTGACACAGAACCCCAGTGGGTGCCCTCTACCTGGCTACGATGAGAGAGCAATTCCAAAGGATAAATGGACTTCAATCTAGTAATCTTTCCAAGGAGATCGTGTGTAGGTCTGCCCGATTCTAGTGTAAATGCGTGTGAGCTCTAGACTCCAGTGGCTGCATCCTTTGCCAGTGAAATTGCGTATTGTTGAAAAAAATACGCTAATCAGCTTGTGAACTGATTTAACTGATCTAAAGATTGTCCGAGTTTTCTTTGTCTGTGGTCTTGAAATGGACCTTGTCAGTACTAAATTCTAAAGCTTTAGATAGATTTTTTTTTTCTAGCAACTACTTTTATACATAAATCCACCTTTTTTACCTAGAATCACCTTTATGAAATCAAAGATTTTAAGTGTGTGTGTATATATATACAGTCCATGCTGTCACATAGTTATAAATATGAATGTTATTTAACACTTAACTTAATGACTTTGTGCAACATGATGGTAGTTCAGGAGTATAGTTCTACAGATCATTGGGCAGAGAAATAATCTACACATGAAAAACGTTAATATTGAGAAATCTCTTCTGTTCAGGAATACACAGAATGAAGATGCCGCTCTAGTCTGGAGCTGCCCTGTGAGGTTTAAGTTACTATTTTAATTCTCAAACATTCCACTTTCTAATAGCACTGTAATTGGAAAATGTGTATAATGTAAATATTTCAATCCTTGTGTCTTTTTAGTCAGACCTTTTAAATCAGATTTGACTGCACATTAATTTTAGGTCCAATCAAAGGTGAATATTATATTGATCTTTTAGATGTGATATTTTTATGGAATTTTCTTTAAAACATATTGACTGACTGGAGTCACTGTTTTCCACAGATCTGTAGAGATCTTTAGGAAGGCAGAGGTTATATTTTTGTGAAAAATACATAGTTGTAAGACATGCTGCTTAAAAGTCAACTTAAGTTCTCATGTTTTATAACAGAATACTGACTAAAATAGACTGATGTGGTGAACATTGGAAGATAGTGCGGGTTTTTAATCTCTGCGAATGGTTCATCTTGTGGCTGTTGGTCTAACGGATAACTAACTGGAATTAAAATAGCTGAATGTAGCTAACTTTTATAAATGAGCATTGTAATTCGCTAGCCAACATATTGTCCTGCATTTGCTTAGTACTGCAGTGAAAGTATGCGTAAAACACTGGTAACTGACTGAGAAGTCACAAGAAAGGGGAATATTTGTAATTGTTAAACAAAAAACTTGAAACAAGTGAACAAAAGGCAAGGTCTGTCTGTATTCTACTATGTTCCGCAAAGCAAATGAGAAGATCTCTGCAACCTCAAATGATTCTGAGCTGTGAAGGTTTAACTACTAAGGCTGTGCATCTGCAGTAGGGGCTGTTCTATCACTGAGGCTAACTTAATGGTAGTATCTTGGCTGTTTTGGCTTTGGGTAGCACAAGGAACCTTGACTGTGAATATCCCTTAATTTTAGCCATAGTGTGTCTTTGTTCCTACAGGTAAAACACTGGAGTTACGTCAATGTGTAGTTCACTCCTGTCTAATTTTGAAGGATGAAAAAGTAGTTTATTTTCCTCAATTCTGTCTTGCATATATTCTTTCTTCAGATGTTAATGGAACAAGTTCACACCCATAGTTAAACAGGGAGCTCGAAGTATACAGCAGATACAAAGATACGTCAGATAACTTTCCTAGTTACTGAGCTAACGTTCAGTACATTTTTGTATTGAAAAATGGAAGTATAGAGTGCATTCCTGTCTTGTTAGAAAGCAAAATTATTTGCTGGTTTAATTCGTATTTAGGGCTGAAAGCAATTAAGCAATTAGTGGGGATAAGTAATGACCCTTCATTAAGAAAAGGAGTTGGAAACTTTAATATCTTTAGTTCAATTCAGTGTTAGAAATAATAATGTGCTAGCTGTTGGCCTAAGGGCTGGATATTCAAAATAACGCTTTTTGCCTCACATTGCAGGCACGTTCTCGGTTTAGTCCGTAGTTTGTCAACTACAAAGTTCAGGTATATTGGGTAGTCAGTGTTTCATAGATGACAAAGTATTTTATCAATTCTACCCTTTTTTTAAGAAAGATTATTGTAGATGTGTTAGGCTTTTTGGTATTGACTGTTTCATAGTTGGACAAGAAGGTGGAAAGCAGTAAAATGTGTCTGTTAAGGGTAACCTAGCTCAGCTACGTAGGTACTGTCCAAATTCTTGCTGTCACAATCAGCTCAAGATGGTTGCTGAACCCCCTTAGGTATTCAGTGTTGATAGGCAGCCTCAGTCACAGTAAATCACGCCATTAACATATTTGGCTGATGTTTGTCTCCCCTGTTTTTCCAAAATGGTGTTCAGAAGCTGTTTTTGCACAAGTAAGCTTTTGAATGTAGACTTGATGTTGCTTGAAGTTCAGCTCTGCTCTCTTAATTCCCAAGGCACGCATGTACTCGCTGACACCCATGCGGAGAGGTGCTGTGGTAGTTTATAACCATTGTTAGCTTTGTCACCTGCTGAAAGGAAGGGCTTGAGCAGCACTGAGAAACGTACCTGGCTGTCCATCTGCTGCCAATTTGGACCTGGAGCTACCTTGTGTAAGAAATGATTCTGCCTTCTTTAATGAACAATGTGGTTTTATTCCCTTGAGAGTAAAAGAGACTATGCAGACTTCACTGGTGAAACTCTTCAGCCTTATCACAGGCTTTGTAGTGATGAGGGTATCTGCATTTTTACCAGTCCAGATATAATTTAAAAAACAAGTTAGCTGAATTGCATAAAGGAAGTTTCGAATGTAATTACATGTGACTTTTAAAAATACAAGATGTGGGGTTTAATGCCTTAAATAATTAAGGTAACTTTCCTGAGACCTGTGGTTAGCCCCACATTGTACTTTTATACATGTATCTGCACTCTGTATTTTGAGACATGAACTGCACACTAATGTAAAAATGTAAAATATTTCTAGATTTAAAATAAATCACTGTACAATTTTACTTCTTGTAGTGGATTTGGGAGTCGCCTTTCTGCCGTTTTGCTGAATGTGTGAAAGATGCTGTTGACCCATCATTGCCTCAGAGGAAGTTCTGTGTTTCTTCTGATACCATGCATCCAGTGGGAGAGGTAACATATCCTCAGATCTACAGCTTCTCTCTTTCAAGCTGGACTCTTACAAGAGAGTATGGACTTATTCAGCTGTGCTGCCTTGAGCTTCAAAAGAGAAGAGAAATGGCCTTGTGCTTCATACAATTATAAAATGACTTTTTAAAGGTGTTAATAGAAATCAGTTTCCTTGTACTGACCCTGCATCTGCAGTTAAGAGCTGGAACATGTTTAAAACGAGGTGCTTGCCTTGAAGAGACCAGTAGTACTAGAGACAATGTGCTGGTATTACCACCTATGGCATGTGTTTAGTTTGCCGATTGCAAACCAATGTCTTCAGGAGAACAGCTCTTCAAACTGAGCAGCATTTGGGGACAGCCTGCTTATCAGCCACTCTCCTAGGCTCCCGTCATCAGCAGAGGACAGGGAGATTCACAGCAAGGATGGACTACTGTACAATCAACCCTGCTTTGCTTGTCAGCCTACTGGTTGCAATGAAGATTTGGAGCAATGTGGATCTGGATAGTTGAGAACAGTTTCTGTGTGCTTGTGGCAGGAGTGGGCCACTTCTCCTTGGTTACTTTATCTAAAGCAGTAAAGGTTAAGTGAACATGGGCACAGCTGGAGAGCGATGTGCCCACTGTGGATTCTAAGTTGGGGGTAGGGCATGAAGTGAAGGTTTTATTTTGAAATCAACGCGACAAGCTTTTAAGACCACTATCTTCTAGCAACTTGAGCCAGACACCAGATGTTTAACATTTAAAAGTTTTACTTGTTTCTAGCACAGACAGTACACAAGTTGGCAGAACCTCTAATAAAAACCACGTATGTTTTAGGCCAATGGTAACAATCGTGCAACAAAAATAAATCACAGAAGACTGTGGATTTCATCAACCAGTTAGAAAACTAGAGTTTCTTTTACTGACATTTAACTTCAACTGTGCCAATACCCACGGTTAAGCAACTTGAACAGTGATAGTTCAGCAGTGAAGAACATTACATGCATCTCTCTCCCTAAATAACATTTTCCTCTGCTTGCACTAGAAACGGGAGCAATTAAACAGGAATCTGATTAGGCAAATCCAGAGCCATCCTGGAAAAAACACAGCTAAGGACAGTCATTCCTACTAAATGAAGAAACAGGCTGAACACGCAATAGGCTGCTTTCCAGACAGTAAAGCACCTGACTCATTTCTCATTTTCCTCCCATGCTGCAGTCAAGTTCCCAGATTTCTAATCTCCCAGGAGAAATCCACGATCCATTCAACTCAAGAATTATACACCAACTGAGAAGCCACATAAGTATCATTTAGGCAACATGTCCTGATTTATATTGCAAATGGATGTTCTGCATTCTAGGTCCTCTGCTCCGCAAACAACTGTGCTGGGTTACTCAAAGAGAAGGTCTTCATCCTTCTCTTCTGCTAAGAGATTGGCTGGTTCGTGTTCTCCACCAGCAGCCCTCCGCAGCTCCCGTTCTTTCTCAGATTTTTCTTTCAATACTTTTTTCTTTTCCTGGATCTTCTTTAACCTGTGAATAGAAATGTGGACTATCTGTGAAACAAATATGTTTTCATAAAACAGGATAGCAGCAAAGATGCCATATAGCTTGTATGTGATAAAGCTGCGTGGAGAAGTTCCCCGGGAAATGAAAATCCTGTAACAAATGGCAAAAAGCTTCTACTTTTAGCTGCTGCCATTGAAAAAACTTCATCTCTGCAGATTAACTCATTTTTTCGTCCAAACTATAAATTACGTCCTTGACCTTAAACACTGCATTATACTACTCTGCTTGTCTTTAATGAAGTTAATTAACTTCTTTAATTCATTTCAGGTTTGACATTTTTGCTTCAGGTAGCCCAGAACACTGACCTCTATGGCAGAGGTGTCCTTAAAGCGTAACACCTCGGTGTACCGTATTACATCATTCCCTCTGGAATGATAACGACAGCTACGTACAACCTAGTGGTAGGGATTCTTTTGTAACTTTGAGATAAGTAATGGCAGATCTCCAGGTGCCCAGCTCTGGAAACTCAATGTGAAGTAAGAACCATGTCATGTTTAACAGTGTTCACGCCAGATTTGGCAAACAGTTCTCGTAAGTCCCTTCTGAGGAATGGTCTATTTGAGAAAAAGAGACCAGTCCAGTCTTGTGTTAGATATTTACCTGTAGAATTCCTCTCGTTCTCGTTCATCCAGTTCTGTGATGATATAAGAAAGAGTACGCTCGATCCTGGGAATAATCACTAAAAAAATATAAATAAGGAAGTTGTTGGACTGCTGTTATATTAGCCAGGAAATTATCTAATGCAGTGCACAGACGGTTAAAATCAATCCAATAATTCTTTTGGCTATGGGGAAATTTACATGTCTTTCATGGAAGACCATGCTATTTCATTACGGACAACTACACAAAATTGTTTTCTTCAGTAAGCCCAGGACTAAACTAGGACTCGGAACATACAGAATCTTCCATAGTACGTTCTTTTGAAAGATGCAATGGAATCAGTAAGCACTGATCCCTGATTGTTTCTAAGGTCCTTTTTCCCCATGGAAGTAGTTAAAAAAAAAAACACGCTGCAAGAGGTGGGCAAGGTTTGAATTAAAACTATGTTCTTTCACCACATTCTTTCAGAAACTTCTGTTCAATATAGCGCTTCTACTCAGAGAATTATCATCTCAGTTTGAAAAAGCCATCATGAAAACAAATATTCAAATGTAACACCATCACAAGGGAAGAGACAAGACATTAAACAAAGCTTTAACACCCAACTGGGCAACCTATGTGTCAGAACTAGTTTTTGAAAGGAAAATGCTGTTACCAGCACTACCAAAGTTATTTGGAAGGCTGCAGAGGAAGCCTTTTCTACAATCAAATTTGCAGAGTGATAAGCTGCAGATAAGGCCTGCATGTTCAAAGGAACAAGTCTATGAAAAACAGTACTGAAAAGGACAGTTTAGAATCACCTACTGAAATAAATTATTGCATACATGCAAAGATGATTAAATCCTAGTTAACCACAACTCGGAAAGAAACCTGAAATAAAGCACCCTGGGTACTGCAGCAAAAGGAATCACAGCAGTATTATGCATGGGTAGTACTTAAGAAATTACAAGAAACAAATTTACAAACAAGAACATGAATGATAAGGAATTCGGATGAAAGAAAAATACCAGAGTGTTGACATTAGCACTGTTCCATTTCATGTAACACAAACCTGAATTGGTTACCAAGATTTCTGTCTGGATGCCTCCTCTGCAATCCCATCCAAAAACGACAAAAAAAATCACCAGCTCTCCACTGGACACCTTTACACTTTTGAAAGCTATTATGCTGGCGATTAGAACATCTTAACACATAGAACCATCCTGTCTTGTTTCTAGTCAATGAACTTGACCAAATAAGTCAAAGTCACTAGCAGAGGCTCCAGAATGTGCTTGTGAAATCTTTGTTCTATAGGTTCTCAATACCACTTCCGGGTTATTCTCATGTTTGCATATTCATTTATCTCTGTGTACTCCAGTCCATTCCGCTGTGCTTTTAACTTTTGTTCTTACTTGCAATATGCTTCACTGTAATGCTTTCTGAAGAGTTCTTGAACTGGTTAGAAAGCCTACTAACAAAAAAGTCAAAAGAGTGGCTTTCATGACGCTGCTCCCCGTCTGGCATGGAGACAGAAAAATACTGCATATCCTGCATGGAAGAATACTCACCGTGTTCAATTGCATTCACACGTCTGTTTGTTATTTTAATGGCTTCATCCAAAGTAACAAAGGATGTCTGATGGAATAGGATTAAATAATTAATATATAACAAGCCGAATTCAGCATTTCCATCAATTCTATACACAAAACCACTTGAAAGCCAAAGCCAAGTCTGTAATGTAGCTTTACGGACTACATTCTTGATAGAAGCAGGATTTTCTTCTACTACTGTCAGTAGCGTGGTGAACACTACGTTAGTAGTTACAAATACCAACTTCCCCAAGTTTCTTACTGGCATTAATGAATAAGGACTTCTTCGAAGCAGTAATATAACTGTTCTATGGCTGGAAAAGGTTTGCAACTTTGTACAGCACTGGGACTAAAGGACTATAGTACAGCTCCAAGTATTAAGATACAATCACTGAGACTATGTTACTTTCATTTCAGAACAGTGAGAAACCTATTTTTTCCTCCCACCAACCTGTAAGGAGGCAAGTTCCACAAGCAGCTCCACAGCTTTGGCATAGTTCCTCTTCAGCTTAGCCAGCTGCTCTCCACCTCTGGCCAAGCCAGTCAGCTCATAGCCTGAAAAAAAAAAAAAAAAATCATCAAATAATATTTGTTGCTATTGCTACTATGGTGTTTTCTTACTAGATAAAAATTAGTACTTTACAAACTACAGGGATACAGGCAGCTAAGCAAGTGACAAGCTAAAGCCTTTGCCCGTTAGCAAATTGTCTTTATAATGGTTTTATGTTACTACAGATCATTGTCGTGCATGTCCACAGTAAGACGTACCAGTCTCAAAACCTGGTGATTCAGGACAAGCCTTCTCATCTGAAAAGCTCACTGATTTAGGAAGTTAATATCCACTACAGTCCCTAATAATCCCTCCCCATCCCAGGAACAGGGTAAAGCATCTCAGAAGTAGGCACACCTATGCCTACGATGTAAACTGACTTACTAGCAAGACACGACAAATATTTTTGTATTAGCATAGCCATAGGTACATGTAAGATAGAAAATAATTGGTTTGTACTCACTGTCTCCTCCTTCCTGGTAATGCTCAAAAACTGGCAAGGTTACACCTGACAAAAGTGAACAAGAATGTATGTAAGAGACATAAAGGGTTAGAGATTTATTAAGTACAGCTAACTATTACCCCATTTGCTTCTAATAAATTATGTAAGCTCAGAAGCTTTGTTTCCAAAATTTTCCTATATAGCTTGGAATGATTAAGTCATGCTGGTTCTGACATCTTAATATGGAACTTCATAATTGTACTGAGATCACAGAGATCTACGCATATGAAAAATTCAGGAAAGTATTCCACTTTATTCAGTGTTCAGTTTTATTATGTTTCTGTTTAGTAATGTATTCTCTGTGCTTAAGGAATATTTTAAGCATTTAATTTTGATTTATTTTTCTTGTTTTCTTCATTGACAATTATCGATATTTAATTTCCTAAAACTTATTTAATTTTTTATACTTAATTTCCTGATCTGTTTTTCAGTAAAGCTCTAAGGAAGTTATGCTTTATCTGAAGACCTAGAAATTGGACTGCAGTTTATGTACACTTATTTAATTTTATGACAGGTAAATAACTAAATACAAAAATTATATGCTGTATGTGAAAAAAAAAAAACCAAACCAAATTACAAGTGTTCCTATTGTTAGATGAATAAGAGAAACAGAAGAGAAATTTGGATACATTCCTGCATATTTCAGAGTCTCCTCCCACAATTCCCATAAGAGTTGAAATAATCTGGAAGAGAGTCACCTGCTACATTGTCTTTTTTAGCTCTGACCTTGACTTGAGCTTTGTTCACATTTTGGATCACAGTGGTACTGTGAGGAAGAAAACATACATCTCGATCAGGAAAACTGAAGTGGTTCATTAGGTCATCATTATATAGAAGATTAAGTAGTTACCAAATAGCTATAAAGATTTGGATATTGTCTTCAGCTCAGTTCTCTACGCAATTCATTGCACAGACTTTGAAGCTAACACAGAAGCTTTGAAAAAAATAGGTTTCCAGCAATATTTGGAAATGTAAAAGATGCAGAGTCTGTGAAATGTAACTTTAGAAATGTCTTAGACCAAGTATACAAAGCATAGCTAAAAACTAGCCAGTTATCTGGCAAATTACTTTGAAGTATGTTAATAACATTGAGTCTAATCACCCTGTGAGACTTTTTTCCCCAATAAAAGTGAAGGAATTTCAAGGCTTTTATGCAGACCAAGGCCAAAACATTTTGTTCATTTGAGTTTGAATGTATTTGTTCTTGCAGAACATTTATGAGTTTGTTTACCCACTAACTCTATAGTATTAACAAACTTAAGCCTGTACAACAATTCATCTTGAAGCATTCTAAAGTGCCTTAAGGTCTTCAGAGAAGAGGTCACTACAGCCAACTCTCCTACTGAAGTACAGTTTGCTTACAGGGTAGAATCTGACTAGTGTTTATAGCTAAACACTGCAACTGGTTAGGAAAGCAAACAGCACCCTACCCCAATGAAAGGGCAAAAGGACTTTTCTCCAGCAGCGCACAGATTGCTCCTGTGTCTGATTGCTCAGTTCTTCCCCATTGATTGGTAGTACCACCAGCTGAATCTTTAACACTTCCCCAACTTTATTGCACAAGATCTACGCACACTTGAATGGATTACACAAACACCCTAGTTAGAACTGTAATTTATTAAAATACAATTAAAAAATAGCCTACTGGAGAAAAAAAGATTTGTTTCCCCTCTCACATACAGCCCTCACCAGCCCTAGTGAGACAAGAGGTCAATGAGATAGGAGGTTAGAACAATTAGTAAAATTTTTTTGTATGACTTACTGAGAGAAAATAACACAATTGCATCTGGCCCTCAAATTCACAAAAAAGATCAAAATAATAAGTATTCCAATACTCTGCTATAAATGCTTATTTCTCTACACTTTAAATTCCAAGCTGCAAAAAGCAATACCTTCTCAAATCAAGGATATGTATGTACAGTAAATTCTGTTAATCTTTCTGCTTTGTTTAGCTTCCACTGGAGTGTACATTTTCATCATGCAAATTGTCTCTCTCCTGCAGTGATGTCTCCCACCTTTACCTAATGGAATTCAGTTCGTCCTGTCCTACCCTGTCTACTGTCTTTTTTTTTATAAAGTGCATTTAAGAACTTTACTTTTTTTTCCCAAAAGAGAAATTAACAATTTATTGATCGCTCTTTCCCATGACATCCTCAAGATCAGCAATCCTCACCTGAAATCTCCTGCTGTAAACTTTGCCTCAGCAAGTGAAAAGGCAGCTTCTCTCATCACCTCACCCATCAGCATCTTAGTCTGTTTTTTTTTAAAAAAAAAAGACGCAGCAAATACAAGATACATCATTACTCCTTTTCCAGGATAAATAACAGCATAAAAGGAAGAATAAATTTAAGAGAGTGTGAAAGTCCTGTATGTATAGCTTACTTTCAAACTGAAAAGGCAATTCCCGGATGACTGGCAAACAAAAATATTTCAGCTGTTTCACTGACCCAGTGTCGAACTCGCAGAAAAGGCAAAAGACTTGTCCGTCTGAATAATCGTAACATTCTACTACGTGGAGGTTATCCCAAGAAAATGGCTTAGCAGGAAAACACTTCCTTCGTATTATACTGAATGCTATAAGACAGCTGCAGTTGTTTTTCAGCGTACAGATGTATGCGGCTTTGAAGCTGCGCTCTTCTCCTACTTCATTTTTTCCCAATTTTTATGCATTTGAAGCCCTTGTAGCCAAAAAAACACACTACTGAGAAGCAAGAGGCTGTATGTATTACACAGACTATAGAAAATGATATACTTAGTGCCAAGAGCACAGCAACAAAGCATTACTGCTAACCATGGATAGCGTAGCAGTTGCAGCCAAAACAGTACAACGAAAACCCATCTAGTATGGTAGAACAGAACAAGCCATATTCGGCTTTACCGAGTATCTGAGATTTGTCATTCATGTTGCAAAGGAAGAAGCAGGACTCAGTGTTTCCTCATAAAGGAACGAGTTCCATCTGGACAAAACTTCTGCTTCCCGGTGTACCTAGTCATGCAGGAAACATTATAGATCTGCAATATTCTCTCAAGCCAGATAAAGCAACAAAAATGGGGCTACTGAACATGTTAAATTCATTCCTGAAGTATCTGGCAGCATCAGAGCAAATTCCCTGTAATGTAGAAGAGATGATAGGGAACTTGGGACACAAAAGACAGCAGAGCTTAGGACTGGTTGGAAAGAGGTGAAGAATACCAATCTTACAAAATTTCTATATTATTGCAGCCAGAAAAACATAATTCTGCTCATCTGTCCTCAGTAGCCTCACTTATAAGAGCAGGTTATCCACAAAGTTGTCCTACTTTCCAGCCTTCCTGATGAAGTTAGCACAACAGGAATGCACAACTGACAGAACAAAGAGATTTCAAATAAAGTGAGCCAAACAGAGGAAAATTCTAATTTACGTACCTCAATAATTTTCTTAAGGATCTGCCTGAATCGAAGTGTCAAAGCATCAGATTTTTTCTTCAAGAGGTTCCGACCTGTTTGGGCTCCTTTCAAACGAGCCTTCATAATGGTCTGAGCCCTGTTAAACACAGGAATAAATAAAAATGTGCTGCATCATCTGAAGCGATTAGGAAAAAACTTGTGCAAAGTTTTCTGACATGGACATGACCGAAATTATGAAGAAACCAAGAAACATCAATGCAGTAAAACAGGATGGCCACTTCAGGATATAATTTTATATTTCCCATTTAAAATCAAGGGAATTTATTATACTTATCTCCATCTGATTACAATTACAAGATTATTATCTGTGAAGTCAAAGATTGTGGAAAATTGACAAGCTATTTTTCAGCACTTCCATAAGAGGAAATAAGAGTTTTCATTTTTCTTGATGACTTGCAAGTACCAGAAATGCACAGAAATCAAGCTACCCCAAAAGCCCACCGTCAGTGTGACACTGGTATTGCTTTTAAGCTCTTTTACTGCTATGTCAACTTCTCAAAATCAGACAACACAGCAAATTCTTCATGTGATCATCACTGTTGGTGCTGTGTTCTGATTTTACAAGATACAGCAGTCATAGACTGTGGTTTAAAGAAAGAAGTACGATGATTTTGTATCTTCATATGCTGCACAGGAGATTTACAAGCTATTTAAGACAATCAGAAGTAGCTTCATTTTAAAAGGGGTATCAGTAAGCTAGCTATAACATTGTATATCCTTTACTTCCAGTAGCACCCTTACAGGTTTCTCATATGGAATCAGGAACTGCAGGATCCAAACCTTGCTTCCCTCTCTGCTGTGGAGAATATTTTCATTTGAAACATCTTTTTGATTTACATTAAGTAGAACAGCAGGAGCTATACTACAAAAAACACGAGCTGTACTAAGTTAAGATACCACTCTATGTGCTGCTGCACACAAAGCACAATACTCAAATCAACCGTATGTGAAGAGAAGCCTTATGCACTTCCTCTCTGACCTTGTAAAAGGTTAGTATCATTAAGATTCTGCCTACACAGTGGAATCTGTTACTTTCCACATCTACTGGCATGTGATGAGAACAGATCCATTACTATCTACCAAATACTTATAACTAAAAAGCACAAATACTTTCTGAATGTTTAAGATAAAAAAAAGAAACAACACAAACACCTAAGTCAAAGAGTAAAAAGACAGCTTTACTTTCACAAAAAGCAGGTCTCTTGTCACCACCTTGAACTAACTTGTTTGCTCTGTTCACCACTTGCCAGAGACTGGCTCACTTTCTAGTTCAAGCAAGATTTCACAGGCTCTGAGAGTGCATTAAACAAAGTCTTGTTTACTGTCAAGGAGACTGAGCAGCTTCTGTAATTGATCATAACCAGCACAGAACAGGCTCATACCAGCAAGCCACATTATAAAAGACAAAAAACCACCCAAACCTTGTGAAATTCTGTTCTGTCAGTTAGCAAAAATAATTGTTGCACAGGCAGGCCATCTTTATTTTATCATCCTAACTTACACTCCTGTCAAAACATCAGTCACATTATTGATCTATTACCTCATTTGAAACAGGGTCTGTAGGTATTAAGCCTTTGTACATCACCACCTTCTTGCCACAATGACGTATCAGCCCACAAAACCAGATACCTTTTAGAAGTGACTGAAGTGCCTGCTCCTTGGACATGTAAACTGAATGAAAAGAGCACTATGGAAGCGCAGGAGTGAGACCGGTGACTTAGTATATGCAGTAATTTATTTCTGAACTAATTTTCAAAACAGAACCTTTACCATGTAATGTATTAACTCTTCCATACAGACTGTTATGTCTTATGTCCTGAGCTCATACCTGGGGGAGTAATTATTATTTTACATTTGAGGTTTTCTGTCCTGCAAGGCACCTTTTTATAAAGACTACATGCAGGCACCAACCCAATTTTATGCAAGAAGATTTGAAACAGCCTTTCACCTTAAGGCAAAGTCTTTCTATCCTTGAGAGTTCTGAAGAGAAACTGAACAGCATTACAGAAATTTTATTAGCCGATTAGTTTCAATTGTTCATGTTCCTTCCAAGGAAGGAAGCTGCTGTTGTTGGCAGCTTTCTAAACCTTGTCAGGAGACATCTGATTTCATGACAAATAGTTTGCTGTCAGGACCTGGAAAATTACTTGACTGTCCACTGCACTTAGGCGTTTTACTTCCTTCTTTTCTAACACTTTATGGCCAACCTCTTGTACAGCAGTATCATCTCTGAAGAAGGGAAGGGAAGCTATGCTTCGATTTGTGCGTTTTTTCTTGTAGATATATTCTCTCAAATCGCTCTTTTTCAAGATTGAGGTGTGCGTGATCGCAAGATTTTGATCAGCCGCCCCGCTGGAAGCTGCCTGCGCCTCGGCACC